GTTAGACTACAAGTTGTTTTTTGACAGAAGTTTAGCAGAATTACAAAATGTTGGAAAGGATCTGAAATCACCAGACTCAAAACAACTGCTTTCAAATGATGAAAGCAGCTTGATCTTTCTTCAAGTATGGAGAACAGTTTTGGTTAAATAGATTTATTACGTATACGTATTCAAGTGCTGCAGGACGCTGTTTAACGTGCATATGTTATATGTTTGTCTAATGGCATACCTACCCGGACAATATGCTCTACTCTAAGCATAAAGAGACAAAATGTTCACTCTGTCCAGGTCTTCCAACTACCTTGGGCGTGAGTTAGTAGACAAACGGTCCTTCTGAGCCCCCGTGTGTTGACTTTGGTCTTCAATGGTTTCTTCAATGGTTCACTCTGTATCGTCGCCATGAAGCAGATAAATGCATATGTGTACTGTATTTGTGTTAGCTGGGAGGGCGTTCGCGTGCCAGGAAAAATAACAAGCACAAGGCAGGGTGTTGGTCAATAAGGGCACTTCTGGATTTCTCGGGGTCTGCGGTTTTGGTCCGGGTCCCTGAACACAGAGACCCGGCATAGCGATGTGTGTTTACACCCACCGCACAAACGATGCATTCATGATTTGAGTATTCCATCATTGGCTTCGATTAAGATTTTCCATCAGCAGGACAAACGGACATTAAACCCCATGTTTGCTCCAGGTGTCCTTACGATGAGAGACAAAATCCTAAGTGCCGTGTAGCTGCCGTGTGATCCGACACAGAGTGGCCTCTTACAGTGAAATCCATGTTAAACAAAACTGCTGTTCTTGCCATTGAGGCATTGACGAAGTGGGCTGGTTTTGGGGGGTAACCAGCGTTGCAATTGAACATTTCTATTTCGAGGGAATATCTGGGAGAAAACAGGGCAGCGCGTGTGTGTGTTCGCATTCCACACGCGTGACCTGTGACAGTGCCCTCTGTGTGCGGCACTCTGCGATGATCTAATGAGAGTCCAGACCGACGCAAGATTTAGGGGCCGTTCTCATACAAGGCCGATTCTCTTTTCTCATTTATTTATCCAGGGCAGGTAAGTTCTAAGCGGTGCCCTGCTACTCGGTTACACCTCCAGGTTGCCTGGTACGACCCCAGACTTTTACTGAGGGCCACTGAACTTCCGGTTTAGGCTAGAGGTCTAATGATAGATGCTATCGAGTTGCCTTGTTGGAAGGTGTAGGATTCAGCATTTCTGCTACAGCCCGACCTTTTCAAGGGACTAAAAGTCAGGATTTATCGGCACCCGGGGCTCCGATTTTATTTGAATCGGTCGAGTATCCCTTTGAAAAGATGTTTTACAACTTGGTTCTTTTTTTGTATATGTAACCATCCTATCATTTTTTTTAGCTTTGTTCACAAAGAATATCAGGAGTAACTTGGCACCAAAAATACAAAAAATACAAATAGGTGATTTAGATTGTTTTGCATCTTTTTTTCTCCTCAAATCCTCCAGTTTCCTTTTGCTTTTCTTACACCTCGTCCTTTCGTTAGGACTGTCCCAGGGACAAACAATTCCATCAAAAATACTCACTTTTCTTCTTTCTCTTGTGTTTTTGTCCTTTTTCCCACTTTCCTCGGCTCTAACCCGCTGGGACGGCTGGAGGTTTTACACCCAATTGGTCGAGTCGCAGGCCTTTGTCGGAGCCCTTCTCTCGCTCCACAAGTGGCAGAAGGGACCTGGGTTGTGAATGGCGCTTTGTGTACTGTTTTTCTAAGAGGGGGCCCTCTCATCTGTCACAGGTCCCTCTCCGTCCGCGCTCCACAATGCCTGATTGTTTCTGCCAAGTCGCCAGGTTCCAGGCCAGATCTGAACAACGCTTTCCTGCCAAATTCCGACCCCGGTTTTCGTTTTTCTTCCCCTCACAAAGGGATTCTAAGTTACTGTCCACGTTTCAGAAGAGGACTTAGCGAGCCGTCCACCAGCAACAGTTAGTTTTCTGAATGTGTCTCTGAGATTAAAGCTTTGAGAATGTCCAAAAGCAACAAAGGAGGGAAGGGAACTAAATATGCTCAAAGAGAACAATAACATTACTGATCAGACCTTTATTGTGATTTTAATTAGGTTTCTGATCAACCGAGATGTTAACCCTACTCATGGAAAACCTCACACATAAAAAAATCAAAAAACCTCACCGGTATCACTTTTCAAGACATATTTCAGTTAGAAAGAACTGCTTTCAGAGGAATAAGTTGATCTTTTTCGAGACGACTGTCAATATGAAACAACTTTTCAGAAAGAGTCTCAAGGCGAAAAAAAAAGTCCCTTTTCAGGTATCGGTGTGACATTAGTGTCAAATTACTGTTTTCCGAGAGTGTTTCCACGTTGCCAAATTCATTCTTTTGTTGGTCTCGTTGGGAAAATGTTGTTCCTTCAGCTATAATCATTCAATTTCTCCCTCCGTCTCACTGGGGAAGGACTTGATATGGACGTGCGTGAGAGCCGTGGTCAGAGGGAAAACCCACACCTCCAAAATGTTTTGACATTTTTCACACATTAGGCAAAATAAATGCTTATTTCACTCATTACGCACATCCATCTTTTTCCTAAGTGCAGCGCTATCTTCTGAAAGCTTCTGCAAACTATCAATCTGAGTGGAACGACAAAGACAGAAAACAGTGACGGCTCTGTTTTCCTCCATGACATGATGGAAGCAGCTGCAACATAATGGTTCTAATAAGAGCTCCTCTTCTTCTTCGTGGGTACATATGTACTGTTTGATATCGCACAGCATGCTTGAACCCATTGTGATTATGCCTGATTTCTACTTCTTTACTGTTGCACTTTCTGTTGTTTCTCAGCTGTTCTCTTACAGCGTTCGTAGCCAGTTATCCGAGTTATCATGAACAAAGAAGAAAAAAGGCTGTGAAGGCGCACACGGGGCCGGTGGGACGTCCTAAACAAAAACTGGTCTCTCAGCCAGGAGTCCGCTATTTGCTCCTCTCGTGAAACTCATCCTGGTGTAACTTATACCTACCACAGCCAGCTACAGAGTTATTTTAAATCCAACCACAATCATTTCACCTCACCAGGTACTTTTGTTGCCAAAACCAAGCTTAACACTTTTGTTCAAATACAAAAACTTTTTGACAATCCATCAGAAATATCAAAGTCATGTAACAAACATTTTTTTTAAAGCGACCATAGTTCCTAAAGTCATTCCACAGCAATCGATTATCAGAGCTTGACATTTGCCGTGTTAGTTAAAAAATCCGAGTCATCGAATTCCTGGCAGGAAGTATACTGTTCTCCTGCCCAGACCAATCACAGGAAGCCCCCGCGGCATGCTTACCAACAAACCCCCATCCTGTTGCACCATGGTGCCGTATCAGTGGCAGCGAGTTATGGAGCGAGGCACATGAGACCCCACTTTCCAAGACCGGGATTTTTAACTTCCCCATAAAACCCGCCCCCCCAAATTTTGTCCCCAAAAATAGGGGTTTTTTCCCCCCCCCCCCCCCCCCCCCCCCCCCCCGGGTCCCTCATTGCTTCAGTGGGGATTGCAGGAGTTGATTCTGCATTAGTCATTTGCTGTTTGCTGGTTGTCTGATTGTGATCACATGCACTCACACTGCCGTGTAAAAACAACGGAGGTTTGGAGAAATGTAAATATTAGCTATTGCTAATCCAGGTTTTTTTAAATCAGGCGTTGGGTGACATTCTTGTTGAAAACTAAATTACAGGTTGACATCAACTTGCAGCATCATTAACAGGCCATTGGGTGAGACTGGGCTGTGAAATGACAGTGACTGGACCAAAAGGGAGCTTTTGTTTTGGCCGTCATATGAGCCACATTTAGAATAAAGATATTGACTATCACGGCTTAATGGTAAAATATCCCCTCACTGGCATCATTTTGCACAGTGTAGCTGGCAAAGAGCCTGAGGAGATTAAATCGGACAGAGATATGTGTGCTTGAATGAGAGAGTCGCTGGAAGCTGACATATGTAGTAAAAGATGCCACGCAATGAACATCGTGACCCTCGGTTTTGTGGTGTCGAATAACACCACAAAACCCACCGTAGAAGCAGATGCACACGTGTGGAACAAAACTTTATTCCGCTGTATTTTTGTCACATTTTCTCCAAAAGACTGAATCTTTTATCTCACTCTTATGAACTACCTGTATAAGTGGTTTTGCTGCCGCCCTCCACACACACACACACACACACACACACACACACACACACACACACACACACACACACACACACACACACACACACACACACACGCGCGCGCCGATCGACTGAGGGGCAGATTTACGTGTAAGCGCTCCCAGGAGGCCTCGTATTTCAGAGATCGACGGCCCGCTGTGATTTACTGGCCGCTAAATCTGATGTGGCAATCTGTTTTACTTTGCAGAAGTTCTTTGTATACGAGTGCTTGTGTTTGCGTGTGTGACATGATTCTTTCCAAAATCTGTGTGCGTTTCCTTTAACGCACCAATTAGTCCAAAAAGATGTGGAGAACTCTGTAAAATGGGCTTGTGTTTGGATTTGGAATGGGAATTTTAGGCCGAGATCAGGCTACAGGAGAGGGGGGTTGAGGGAATAAGTGTCCTCATAAGTAAAGAGCAACAAAGGGAAGTCGTTCCAGTAAATGATGTAGTAGCCAGAGGCTCGCTTGAGTAAAACAGGTTTCTTTCCACTTAAACGCGGCAGCATGGCGGATGAGCGGCCCTGATGCCGCTTAATAGATAGATAATATAATAGATAACCCCAAGGCAGTATGTGCTTAATATGCACATATGCACACGTGTGTGAGTGTGTGTGTGTGTGAGTGTGTAACATTCAGCATGAATTACCTGAAGTGTAAGTTTCTCAGGTTGCAATAAAAGTACATGATGTGTACATGAAGTCGCTCCCCTCTCCTCTCCTCTCCTCTCCTCCCCTCTCCACTTAAACTAGCATGAAATAATGTTCCATAATGGTCTAATCACTGCCATAAAAAACCACTTTGTCTTGTCCCCCACAGAACGATGTCTTCCATGCGAGGAACACCTCCCTTTCAGCCACAGTCTGAGGAGGAGGACGCGATGGGTCATGACCACGCGGCATGGACCAGCGAGGAGCGAGAAGGCCCGAAGGAGACGCCGTCTCCCTCCTCGCATGAGCGACCCCACCCAGACGAGCTGCAGCCAATCCGGGAGAAGCTTACTGAGTCGGACTGGGGGAGCATGGTGCCTGCTGTGGTGGTGAGATGTTGATCATATCTTATCTTGAGATATGTTGCCGTAACTCAAATCTATAAAAGAAATGAGGTGTGTGTGTGTGTGTGTGTGTGTACATAGTGTACACACTCAGGGCGCACGGCTCATAAAACACTCATGAAATACATGCAGGGGTACGCAGGGTGTGCAAATTGTCATGCATAATGATGATTGTGCACCATCCAACGCACACACCCGTTGAACGCACACACGCACACAACCAGCAGTGGTCCTCTCTGGTCTCAGTGCTGCAGGCAGTGCTACAGGCAGCCCAGTGAGGCTTCACCTCCAGAGAGTTACAGCCCTTGGTTCTTCTCATCTCCACCTCCTGCCTTCATGTGTGTGTGTGTGTGTGTGTGTGTGTGTGTGTGTTAGTAACTTGGCTGCAGGTTCTGTTGGTCCCTAATGGAAGAGGCCAGTTTGAGGCGAGTCCAAATTTCTGAGACTAAAGTTTCTTTCTTTATGTTGTGGCAGAATATATTTAACATTTGCCCAAACAAAAGTCCTGTTCATACTTCTAATCCGACTAAAACTTAATTATCTTTTTTGTTGTTATCTCGAGACTATAACCAAGTTAACGATTCTCTGTGCATAGTAAATACTTTAACGGCAACAAGATTAGAGAAATCTTGACTTCAGTTCAAAGTGGCCTAAAAGCTGCTCAACTTCCAACAAGGACTCTTAAAAAGCGCTGACCTGACACTTTGGTCAGGTCAGCGCTTTTTAATAAGGAATAAACTTAATTCAAAACCTAAAAACATTTATTTTTTGTCAACTGACCCTCAAACTTATGAGTTAAGCAAAGGAAACAAGGAGAAGGACAACCGTGCGTCAAAGAAGATCTACCTTTCTAACTAAAATGGGGTAAAAAGTTAGTTTGGAGTTGGTGCTTCTTTTTCATTCCGCTATTATATAACAGGGTTTTAAAAAGGTTAAAGCACACAAAAACGCATTGAATGGATAGCAAAGGTATGGAAGGACAGGCCGGCTTCCCTTCTCTCTCTCTGACCTTTTGGTTTTTACAATGATGGGATCATCAAGCCTTCCTGCCTTCACCACACTTCTTGGTGGCATTATGTGTGGACCTGTAAAACACACCTGAACAATCCGCGAGTGACACACTATACCCTAATCCTCATTACAGAGCATCTTCCGCTTAAAGACAAAGTGTACAGGAGGGCCTCCGGGAGCCGTTTCAAGGGCGCCTTAAGATCCCGCTGTTAGTTAAAGCCCCTTGTCTTTGAAACGTAAGCCTGCTAAAGTTCTAGGAGATCCCCCCCACTCTGTAAGGGGAGGAGAAAGCGTTCAGAAATAGCCCCGTGTTACCACACCTGTGCCAAAGTGTCTGTTGCGTGGGACAATGTGGTCGCCTTGAGGGGCTTATCGTATCGGTAAATATAGACCCCTTGTGCCTCTCACTTAACTCATAATAAAGCAGAGCAAACAGCAGCGGGACGAAACCCCCCCGCCTGCACCTCATGGAGCGGCGATATACTTAATAAGTTAGTAGTACACCGCTGGGTACTACTGTGTCAACACGTCGCTTCTTGTGGAACTTTCAGCCTGGTAAAAACTTGGGACACTGTTATTTTATTGTTATTCACAAACTGACCTCGCGGTACATGACTTGAATTAGTCTAAAATCCGTTTAGCTAATCTACGATTGCTTGTGTGGATCCCAGGTGACGACCTCTAGCTCTGCACTCATAAAGTGCCTTGAACTTGCATTCTCTCAAATGGCCATCAGGAGGCAACTCCTCTGTTTTTTAATAGCCTGTGCCAAACGGGTTTGATCAGTTAACATTTCAATCTGTACTTTCAAGTGTTCTTCAACACAGCATGAAGTTGTGACCTGTTCTGTAAATGCGTCTCCTCCCAGGACAACGAGAGCAGTAAAGGCTGCTCGCTCTACTCCTACCGGACCAACTCCACCTCTCCGCCCAAGCCGGAGGAGGGCTCCAGGGACCGCGGGGAGCCGATGATCGGCCTCGTCTTCGGGACGCCGGAGCGCCGCAAGGGGAGCCTGGCAGATGTGGTGGACACGCTGAAGCAGAAGAAACTGGTGGAGCTGACCAAGACGGAACAAGACGGTAAGCCGGAGTCTCCCACTTGCTGCCTCACCTTCGATTCACAAGATGCTGTTGTTCCTCACCTACTCTTCCCTCGCACTCAAAGCGTGAGCGGTCTCACCTCTGCTCTGTTTTCCCTTTTTTCCGAACGCACCCTCCCGAGAGGATCTTTGAACATCTAAAATTACAACTGACGGGTCCTTTTGCACGTTAGATCACAATATCAATCAGTGAAAACACAGGTTTCCCTTTCGCCTGCGCTTCTGATCTGCACCAGTAACACAGCAGAGTCTCCCAGCATGCCTCAGCTCGCCCACAGCGAGTCAGATCTGAAACCATCCGACACCCCTCCTACCTGTTAGGTGCACATAGTAATCATGGTGATATCAGAGGAGCGCTTTATCTCTCTCATTTGAAAGGTTTCACTTTGTTATTGATACAGCAGAGCCAGAGGCGGAGCAGACAGGTACTTCTGCCTTATTATCTACCGTAACTGGTTTGAAACAAAAAACATGTGTGTGTGTTAAAAAGGGTTGTGACATCTTCCTGACAAATGAAAGGGGACATAAGTGGAGAAAAAAAAATGCTGGGGGACAAGTTGAAGTGTTTGTCTTCTTCTGATTTTCTACATTTTTTTTCCCATTTCCTGAAGCTGCATTTTATTCTAAAATAATCCTTCACAGGAAATGTTAACAAGAACTTCATTTTTATCTCTATTTCAGAGAATGTAGCAAAAGCAATGTTCACTATTCGAAGCTGGACGACAATCATACATATTCATACTGCTTCCTAACAATGGCAATAACACACTAAAGGTCAAATATTATTCTGCTTCATACTTACAGATTCTTGGTTGTTGCAATGGACATAGTGTATTATTAATGCTATTGTTTGAGCACATTATAATGTGTTTTAATCGTGCGTTTAATATTCCTTTTACTACTTTTTATGTGTTGTTCTTGGATTGATGAACGTTCTTTGGTGCATAAAGACAAACAGGTCATCAGTGGATCCAACATCAGCAGCACAGCTGAAGTCTTTAATCCCGAGAATCACTCAGATTTCCTCTTCATTGGGGGGGAAAAAAGGAAATCTCAGCCTACTATTGAGTGTGGCTCATCCTTTGCTAATTAGCAGAGCGACCCGTCCCCAAAGGACTATAGCGGCATTGATCACGCTTTGTGTGGACAAAAATGAAACGCGCTTAACATGAGCGATATAACCAGGCACAAACAGTGTTAAGGTGAATAATAACTCTGGGCCCTTTAAACCTCCCTCTGACTGGCTGTTCCCTGAAGAAGCACTGTAAACATGCATTGTACGCCTATATACCCACTTGTTCCCCTTTTCCTAATGATTTATGTTGAAATGAGAGGTGATCAATAGCCGGATGCGGCTGAATGCGTCATTGAGCGAGTTCGACCCTGGAGCTCCAAACCCGTTTCTTTGTCTCGTTACATCTTCCTCTCCTTCTTTACATGACGATGGCATGGTCTTCTAACTTCAGGAACCCTTGAATGCACATTTTTGGGATCTCTCCTCAAATGGCGGCCTTGCCGATTAAAAGATTTTTCGTGTGTCACTTTCGAACTCAAAGGTTCGAAACACGATACAGATCCCACATGCGACACTGTTGACGGATCACTTTGTCTTTCAATAGTTGCGCGGCAGAAAGCCCTTTACTACGTAATAAAAGTCTTTTTTTCCCTCCGGACTCTTCTTGTGTTCACTCGACTGACACTTGAAGTCTGTGCAGAATCCCACCGCAGCACCACTGGATGTGATCATCCGCACTCAAATGGCACATTAAAGCCTGAGCGATGTTGTCCGTTGCCTCTCCCTCCACCTCGCCCAGGTTAGATGGGGTGTGTGGTCGGATGGAACGGAGCCTATTAGCCACCGAGCGCTCACTTAGCCTAACTGACCCCGCCGTGCTCTGTAGCCCTGAGCTGAGGTGTGGGCGCTGTTAGCCTCACCCGCTGTCGGCACGCCGTTGCCTTCTTCGCTACTCAGCGCTGCCCTTAAGTGCCTGTGACAGATCCAATGAATAGTCATGGCCTCGCTTTGCAAAGCGGGTGATTCTTTTTTTTTTCTTTGTCTCTGCCGCCTCAGCTTTTAAAAGCTTTATTAAGACGTCTTTAAGAATGTGTCAGCTGGCTGTATTACCACACAGCTGGTTGCTGTGAACGGGTCCTTTCTGACAACATGTGAGCCAACAGGGTGAAGGTCCGACACCGCCATGACAATTTATTGTTTAAGGTTGAGTTTCACCTGCATTATATGTTTAAATGTACTAAAGGCTTATTCTATACTGTTAAAGCGCCCAGCACGTACTTATTAAGCTGCTAGACTGGTTACTGAATACATACAGATGTACAAGGACGGCACCGGGGAACATCATAAGAAAAACACTGTGGGCAGGAGATGTGCTGCGGAATGGAAGCGCTCCTCCATCCTCTGTCATTTTTTTAGTTAAAATAAGAGACGGAGAGGGTAGAAAATAAAAGACACGGAGAAATAAGCCACGCAATGACCCGTCTCTTCGGGTTGATGGCTGCCTGGTTAGCCACAATGAATCAGAATTCACCTTTTCTGGTTGAGCTCGCGCCACAGAAAGGGAAAAAGCAGCGAGCAGTGGAAGCGTTTATCTCGATGGCAGACCAGGCCGCTCTGGGATGCTGCCCGATGGACATTAAAGCCGGGGTGAAGTGTGCAATCAAGCGCCCTCATTTCTGATGACGGAATTATCATTATCCATTATTGTTGTGCCTCCCGGGGGGGGCGACCAACTGTTAACGGCATGGGCACAGTGCCCCCCGTGTCCACCTAGTTAGCCGTCTGACGTGGCGCCTGGCAAGCACTTACCATCCCTCCCTTGCGGGGCCGAGGCCCCGGGCCCTCGTGAGCTACTGTACAAACCACGTGTTTAATTTGCAAATGAGATCAGGTTCAATTACCGCCATGCTGTACTGCGGCGGGGCAGTTATAAAACGGACACCTGCGTGACTAATTTAGGAAGGAATGAGACGTGTCGTGTTCATTTTCATAATCATATTTGTCTTTTCGAAGGAAAATGTTTGCTGCTTCAATGTTTTAGAAAACACCTGAGTTCACCCTCCCGTTGAAAACTTTTACAGTATTCATAAATGACCTACTTTATCATTTCATAAAAGACTGACACTATTGGACCTTTAAGTCTGAGGCGATACCGTGCGGCTGTTCATGCCATAGGAACAACACGAAAGCAGCATGTTTCAGAGGCTTCAGCCCATAGACCTGATGTGACATTGCTGTCTCATGTTTTTTTTATGAGCCCTCTCCAATCACGGAGTTGACAGACAGTCAGAGCCTATATGCTGAAACCCATCAGCGTGGAAAGGCCTTCGTTGCTACCGTGAGGCACTAGAAACCCCGACCAATGACCAAATGTTCCAGCTTCCAGTCCGGCATCACAGGCGAACAATCCATGTTTTTCTTCTCGTGAGTCATCAGGACCGTTTTGAATTGATTCATTTTTTCATTTAAGCTTGTGATTAAAAAGTCATTTTCCAATTTTTACAGCCCAGTGCCAGCAATGCACGATTAAAAGGCCTGAAAACAATCCGCTGGTTTTCTCAAATGAAAATATGATGATACTTTAGTGCCTGTTAACAACATCTAATAAAGTCCTGATAGCGACCTAACTGAGTTTTTAAAGGCATTTGCGTTGCCTCCACTGGGTTGGCTCTCAACAACGGTTATTAGCGTTAGCTAGACAGTAGGGCTCACTCACACGCATTCACATGCACTAAAACGCATGCACTTAAACAGCCCTGCCATGTGAACAAAGCACAGAACATATCACAATACAACACACACGCAACTTAATTATCTCTTACTCCAACATTTGCATAATAAATAGTTATTTGCATTTGATCGACTGGGTCCTCGTCAGCGACGCTGCCTGGTGACCCCTCGTGGCTTCCCATGCAGCAGCTGTTTTACGAACCCCGTCCTTGTGCATAAACTTGTGCTGTACAGTTTGGAGGAGCTCGGCACCCGATCACCCATATAATGGCTTCCCCAGATGGAAGCGGAGGTCAGAACGAGGCCAAGCCTTCCTCTCACCCCGCTCCTGCCGGGACAATAGAGACATTCTGCCCGGCTTCGTTGGCTTTGTTCTCCCTCGCCGCTGAAAGCCGGTTTCAACATCTCTGCTGTTACCGCCACTCAAACTGTGGAAAGCGTGTCCTCTCGCCGAGGGGTCTGCACAGGAGGCGGTGTGGACTAGTGCACCCCTGTGCTTTCGCGCCGCGATGTTCAACGACTAAAAAAAAAATCGACATTAGCCGTGAGATTCCTTTTGATCCAGGGCCGCTTAGCTGTCAGAAGCACTTATTGAAGGGAAAAACATCGGCAGGCTTCTTCAACTAAGCTGCCGAACTAAGCAGGACCGAACTTTGAACTTAAACCAGTCCTGCGAGCCCGACCCGTGTGTGTGTGTGTGTCTGTGTGTCTGTGTGCGTGTGGGTGAGTGCTTACCGATTCATACACTCAGGTGGAAGTAGTTGCGATGACAGCTTAACGGGGCGAGTGGGGTCGGCCCCCCGAGAGTTAAGCCTATTGGCTAATTAACACGCTCTGGGCTCCACTGTTTGCCCTCCTCCGTGGGATTGGCAGCTTGAGCTGTGATCGTGTGCAGGTACGAGCTTTGTGGGTTTAGCATTAAAACGCTGTGCGAACCAATGGCGGGGCACAGCTGTGTGTTCAGGGTATTGATATTTACGGTTCGTGCGTCGCCGTCTGGGGGTCCGCGGCGCTCCGCTGGGCCGTGCCAACGGGCCGACTCCCCCTGGACTCCTTGTGGTCGGTCTCGATCTCCTCCTCTGTAATTGATAGGGATCTCTTTACTAATGATCAGCCACCGCCTGTGAGTCCTGACTACACATTTGGCAGCGGGCCAGCCAGCATATGGTGCGAGCGCATGCGATGCGGTCTCGCCGGAACAGTTTTGAACGTCGTCCAAGAGAATCCGATTAAAG